ATAATTCTAGAACCCAAGAATTACTTTTATTTTTCCAGTATTCTGTCGACCGGTTTATCTTCTAAAAATCATCAAATCCATTTTTTCTAGAAAATCGAGGTTTGAGTCAGAACTTAGTATACAAATTTTGGACAAATCATTGTTTCTCGGTAAAAACCACCACTTAAAATCGCAAAAAAAATCTATTTCTAAAAGATCAGGACTGAACCGCAATTTTTACCAAATTTTGGCGCTAAAGTCCACGTTTTTGAATCAATTCTTGAATTTCCAGGTGTAAACTGTCTGGCAGTCTTCACGTTTCGAAAGTAATCAGCGTCTATTTTGCCCTGTCTCTCGATTTCGATGCCTTGAGGGTGTGTTTGTTCTTTGGATGAAGCTAGCGAGCGAAGAGAGAGAGAGAGAGAGAGAGAGAGAGAGAGAGAGAGGGAGAGAGAGAGAGAAGCGCAGAGGTGTGTGGCCGGGAGTTGCCTAGGGAACAACCGAGTAGTCGCCACACTTTCGATACTCATTTTATTCGCCCGTCTCTCTCTCTGCCCTCTTCTCTGTTGTCCATAGGAACCCCCAGGATTTTTGTGAGGTAGGGCGGCAGCTTCTCCCTCGTCCTTCTAACTACTAGCCCGTTCGGAGTAACTTCTCGGAAAATTTCACTGACCTACTCTGGGTCAGAGAATCGGCTACTCTGACTCATAGTGTACACAATTTACTCTGTTTCTGTCTCTCTATCTCTCGCTCTTTCAGCCACTCTCTCGCTCATTTCACTGCCTAGCAGTTAACCCTACGTCGGGCCAATTATTTCACTCCCTAGCCTCAAAGAACCTTCGCGCCGTTATTTCGGGTCTTTCTAAATGACAGCTAGTGGCTTTTCATGCCGGCTCACTATTTTTGACACACACTCTCTCATCTCCAAAGGCCAAAAATCCTAAAAATACCTTATTTTACGACTTTTCCTGTCCTTCCAAACCGCCTATTCGACGCTGAATTATCGCCAAAATAGCCGAAAAAGGAGGATAACATTTCGGAGGCCAGAAACCGCAACGAAAATGATGTACTTTGCCACAATTAATTATTTCTTTATAAACCCCCGCGCAAATCCCGGGCTCAGTCGGTAGAGCGGTCGTCTTCCAATCTCAGGGCCCGAGTTCGATTCCTCCCGGCGCAAAACCTTTTGCTTTTTGGTGGGGAGCTTCAAATTTTCTTGCTTTTGACGGAAAACAAAAAATTAGAGCTCATGCTCATACTCAAACTCAGCATCCCTGCTAAAATTTTGCCAAAAAATAAGGAAAATCAATCTTTGAAGCATTTATCGATCTCAACAGGTCCAAATTTTGAAGCCCGGGGAGAGGCAATAAACAGGGCTAGGGGCACGCCGGAGAGGGGGAAAAGCCGTGACTCATAAAACGCGCCCAAAACGCGCTGTCCGGAAAAGGGCCGAAGCGCTGATCAGTCACTCCTCCCATCTCTCGCCCGGCACGCTTCTAGCCTGAATTATATAGCGTAACTATATATCTGAATTCCCGAAAAATCGATGCCACGGTCGAATGGCAGACAGGTTAGACGGCTCGAGCCTTAAAAACGGTTCAAAACACTAAAAAATGAATTTTGACAAAAATCCGACCCTTTTCCGGAAATCTGCATTCTAAAAGTTGCCCTAAAAACTTCAATGAATCACCAGGTGACGCCCTATTTATCGCAATCGCTTATCTTCTCGCCAGTTTATGGTATTTCATCCTAGGTTGGCTTCAGTTTATTGAGATTTTTGAAATAGTACGAGACTTTCTTAACGTCAATTTTAATTTTGCAATTGTTCCATTTAGAATTGTACTTATTTTCTCTGGAATCAAATCTTTTTGATGTAGTTATTCACTGATTCTATTTGAAGCGAGTGCGAATAGTCTAAAACTTACAATTTTAGAAATGTAAAAAACTTTTTCTGCTAGTTAAAAATCACCAGATCTTTCCTATTTTCAAGAAAAATATTTTCTAAAAATTCAGAATTTTCCCGAATTCCGATGCCCATTAGGAGAAATCAAGGCGGGAAATTACACAAGTCGAATTTTTTAATTTTTTAAAACTTGAGGTGTTTCTATTTTCCGAATTTTCATGTCTAAATATTTTCATTTTGACTCTGATTTTTTTCATTTCCGCTTCTATTCTAGCCTGGAATTATTGATCGGAATATAAATGTTCTAGTCCCCGTCTAGGCCCTCTTTTTCTGAGAAATCGGGTAACCACGGGAATCCAGCAGGGAGGGCAGAGGAATTAAAAGGACCTGGAAAGCTCACGAAAATTAGCGTCATTTTTCATGTTTTTATAGAATCAGCTTTCAAAAATAATTAGCATTATTCTAAAATAATGTCATTAAAAAAGAAATAATTTTTCAGTTATATGTGCCCCTGGATCGACCGCCACGCAGGATGAATACTGGGAAAGATGATATGAGAGAATATTGTGTCAACGGCCAAATGAGGTACGCTAGAAATTGGGGATTTTAAAACATTTAAATTACGATAAAATCAATCCAATTTTCACCTACTAAAATAAACGGGTTCGCTCTAAAATTAAACTAAAAATTCTACAAAGCCCCAAATTAACAACTTTTAACTTTTAAGACTAAAATCAAACCAATTAATTTAGTGCACACTAGATCAAAAACTTTATCATTGTAAAACAAAAATTACCGTTTTCTTTATTAACAACACTAAAAACACAAGAAACTTTATTAAAAATACGATCAATCTTTCTAAGAAAAAAATTAAAAAAAATTAAATTCCCGTCATAACATTAAATAGACTCAAATTCAGGAAAATTAGTAAACTTTTCCAATTAAGAAAAACCAAAAAATGCCAGTTTTCGAAATTTAATCAAATTTGCTTAAAACTGAAAGTAAATGAATCAATTTAGTTCCTCACAAAACGAAGAAGAGGAGGGACCATCGACGAGTACCGCCACGGGGCCGAGCAGGACGGAAAATGTCAGGAGGTACGTTCAGAAGGTATTTCTTCATCTTGCATAATTATCATTTCGCATAACGCTATTTCGCATAATTGCATTTCGCATAATTTTTATTCCGTATAACGGTGATTTCGCATAAGGATGATTTCGCATAACGCTTTTTTCGCCTAACGGCGATTTCGCATAACGGTCATTTCGCCGAACCGTGATTTCGCATAACGATCATTTGGCATAATTTTCATTTTACCTAGCGATGATCTTGCATAACGTTTATTTCGCATATTTTTTTGGTTAGTGGCAACCAAGAGCAAAACAGGGCGTTTTTGATGATATGAAGTGCAGTCACGGTATAAGACAATCGAAATGACTAGCTACCATTTACGCGGATTCCGCATCAGTAATCAATGTAATGCTTTTGACCTAGTCTTGCGGTCAGATCTGCTAGTGTACACATGGATACTATCTACAACGTAGGATTTTTGGTCAAGCCCCTCAAAACAGACGTACACCCGATGGGTCATGGATTTTGAGCAAGCTTGGGATATCTGCACGGAAGGGCGCAAAAAACCGCACCGGTAGATTGTTTTTCATCGGTTGCTGATTGCTAAGCTAGAGTTATATTGACCAATGGCTGCCAATGGCGAAAATTATGCGAAATGGCGGTTAGGCGAAATCAAAATTATGCGAAATGGTCGTTAGCTGAAATGAAAATTATGCGAAATGATCGTTATGCGAAATGACGGTTAGGCGAAATCACCGTTATGCGAAATAAGCGTTATACGGAATAAGCGTTATGCGAAATCACCGTTATGCGCAATAAAAATTATGCGAAATGCAATTATGCGAAATGGCGGTATGCGAAATGAAAATTATGCGAAATGAATGGAAATCGTTCAGAAATTTGCCAAAAACATATCAAAAACAGTTTTCTAGATTTTTCGTAAACCGATATTAAACTAATTTAAACGCTATGCAACTAAACTATACAATTTAGAAGTCTAAAAGACCTGAAAAAGGACATGGGACGGAATTTCGACGCGCTCGTCCATCGGCCGAGGATGGAGAGGATCAGTGAAAGCGAGGGAGGCCTTCAGGATAAGGTTGGTGGTCATTGTTTAATAGCCTTAAAAGGTTGCAAATTCATATTAAAAATAGAATCATCTCAAAAAAAAACTGCCCGAATCAAATTAGGGCGCAAAAATGGGGCTGGAAACTCCAAAATCTGAGCGTCACCTCGTCAAAACTCGAAACTACACACTTTAAACTGTTTTAATTGCCTTAAGAGCTGTAAATTCTTCTCGAAAAGTAGAATCATCTAAAATGTAAATGCCTGAATAAAAGTAGGTCGTAAAAATGGGGGCTACAACCTCCAAAATCTGTGGGTAACCTCTTTAAAAACCGAACCAGTTTAAAAAAATTCAATCTAGGCTGGGAAGACCAGAAAACAAACTACAAACTGCAAAACCAATGGGGCAACCTCCTTAAAACTCGAAAAGTAAAAGACCCAAAGTACCGTATACGGTTGGCTCCTCCTTCCGTCAATCCTCATTTCATGTCGTAATCGATAAAAATTAATAACTGCAATTTTTAACGACCAAAATTCCAAAAATCAAACGTTATTCCGGGCCTAAAAATTACTAAAAAGCACTCGAAAATACGACTATAAACTCCAAAATCGATTCTTGAAAAACGCTTCAACCCACCACAACCTCCAAAGTCCGGACAAAAATTTCATACCGTACTCGAATCGATAAGTCCGATTTTTAGCGCCACAAACTCCAAAAACAAGCTTTATTTCTGCCGAAAAATCTCTTAAAAATCAAAACGAACGAAATTCACGAGAAACCAAAACAATCACAGCCTATCGTCTAAATACTAGTAGAAAAAACATACAAAAAGCGAGCGAGCTGTGAGAAATAGAAATAGATATGACCCGAGCAAAAAGAGAGAGCATAAATTGACAGCCAAAAAATTAGAAATTACCCGTTAATAGAAATATACGAAAAAAAGAGAGATATAAATAGGGCGAAGGGAAATTTGGTAGATTAATTCTTCTTGAGATGGCGATCCAGCGGGTAGTGCGTCTGCAAAAATTCATTAAAAACATATACAAAATAAAACAATATTAAAATAAATTTTAAAAAACCAAAATAAAACCTTATTAAATAAATTTAAAAACGTTTAATAAAATACGCCAAATCGATATTAACAAACTAACGAATTTAAACTAAATTACATTAAATTACTATTACGCTCCGCTAAAAATTTAACCAGTATTTTGGATAAAATTTAGGAAAAACAAAACGCTACTAAAAAAAATTAAATCTTTTCACGTAAAAAATCAATCAATTGAATCGAATTAATTAAAACAAAAAAATACCCCGAATTCGGCGAGATGGTCGTCGAGCTCCTGGCGCTGGCGACGAAGAGGGGCCGGCAACTAGAAAAACGTCCTCGAAAATCCTCAAAAAATGCGATACCTTATCGTAGACTCCCTCGAACATTTCGTGGTAGGGGGCACGCTGGATTTTCTCGGATGCGGCGAACGCCGTCAGCACACGCTCGCGAACCTACAAAATATTCTGATTCACCGGAAAATAACCGAAAAATGAAATTTGCCAGAACACTTGTAAAAAATTGCCAGATCGAATTGTCTCTTTTTGACAAATTCCAAGATTTAAAGTAAAAAACTAAAAACCACTTTAAAACCCATAATAAAAAATGAATGAAAAGACCCTTTACATCTTCAAAACCCCAAAACAAATGTTTCGAAATTAGAAAGCTAATTTGCTAACGTTTCCCGGCGAATTCCCAGGACAAAACTCTAGTGAAAGACGCTTCCCTGCCCCTTCTAAAAATCAACAAAACACGATCAAAAGAACATCCGCTACCTAAAAATTACAAAATCGCCGCAAAATTATTTTATTGGATGAATTTCCAAAACCTAAAAACTACCAAGAAGCGCTTATAAGTCCCTTTCAAGTGCAAAAAACCGTCAAATTGTACCTGTAGTGCCCATTCCCTTTCCCTCTGCTCGGTCCACCATCCCTTCGCCATCAAATAGGCCTTGAATCGTTCAATCGGGTGGTCGCCAGAGCCCCATTTCTGCACCTCGTCCACCGATCTAAAAACATAATATAGATTTTAGCCCATAGAAAAGCGACAGAAAAGGAAAGCGAGAGAAGAGAGAGCGAGAGAGAGAGATAGCGAGAGAGAGAGAGTGATAAAGAGAGAGAGAGAGAGAGAGCGAGAGAGAGAGCGAGAGAGAGAGTGAGAAAGAGAGAGAGAGAGAGAGCAGAGAGGCAGAGAGAGAGAGAGAGAGAGAGAGAGAGTGAGATCAATAGATTAGAATGAATACCTGTATGTAGTCGAATCATCAGATGTTGAATGATGTCCCAATCGATAGGTCATCGCTTCGATGAGTACCGGTTTATTCGAGAGGGCCAGTTTTCGGGCGTGTCGGGTGGCATTGTAGACGGCGAATAGGTCGTTTCCGTCAACGCTAAAAAACTCGTATAATTACAGGGGCCCGACGGCGGAAATTAGACACGACCCCCTCTGCGCACTAATACATCAAACATTGAAAATTTCGCTAAATTCGAAATTTAAGAAATTAGCCAAAGATTAAATTAACTAAAGGGGTTGAATCTAGTAATATTTGAGCACTAATAAGTTTAAAATTAGCGAAGAAAATAATTCTTAGCCCCAAAAATTTCCACTTTTTACTCAAATTACGCTATCTAATTCCAAGCTAATAAATTTTTTCCGGACAAGACATATAATCAAAATTTTCATTAAGGGGGCGTGCCAGTAATAATTTACAAAAATTTTAGCATAAAATAAAAATCAGATTTTACTAGCTTCACAATCCAGTTAAATTAAATACGTTTGAAACGCGCCGTGCCAAACATTATTCAAAAAAAAATTTCGCGTTATAACGCAAAAACCCAATGTTTACCGAATTACCGTAATCACACATTTCCAAAAAATTCCCATTTTTTCGAAAACCCCCGTAATAAAAAGTACCGTATGGTGTGAAGACCGTAGCCGGGTCCCTGCCCGGCAATTCCATCGCCTCCATACTGTTCGGTGGTGGGCGTCGAGATGGCGTATCCGTTGTTGCGGCAGAAGAAAATGATCGGGCAGTCCTAAAACAGAGAAATCAGGATTTCGCGTCGTAATCGAATAAATACCAGGGTTGCGGCAAAGTTGAAGGCCGCGTGCGCGTCGCCCTCCGAAGCGCCACCATCCCCAAAGTAGACGCACACCACGCGCGAGTTGTTCGGCTGTCTAAAAATGCGGAAATTAGACGTAACGCATAAAAAAATTAGAATACTGTCATTAAAGACTCGAAAAATTTTTTTAACAATTTAGACCGCTAAAAATCCACAAATTCTGCTCTTCAAGAAAAATGGAATTCAGAGTTCAAAACCTCTAATTTTTATTCTAAAACTATATTTTGCGAAGATTTATCCTTTATAAATTAATCAATTAAATTAAATTTGCAAATTTATAAAGCAAAGATTTTTTGGCTCAAACGATTAAAACGCCCCATTACCTACAAATTTGCTCTAAAAACTAAAAGAAGCTATTTAAAGTTTTTAAAAATGTCTAAATTTGTTAAAATAATAGAAAAACCGAAATTGATAAATTCTAAGTTATTTTTAGCGCAAAATGCAAATGTCCAGAAACAAAAAATAAAAAGTTGAATTTCTGAGCCAAAAATCATCGAACCAAACCTCAAAATTTCCAAAAAAATTAGATTTTACGTCATTTTAGAGCCAAGCCAAAAACCTCCGAATTTTTCTTAAAGCGCTAAAAACAGTACCGTTTAAACGCGTAGGCGCTGCCGACCGCCTGCGGCATCTGGGTGCTCAACGGGCTGGAGATCATGACGAAGTTGTGCTCCTGGGAGCCGTAGTGGATCGGCATCTGCTTGCCTTTGCCTAAAAACACTTATAAAAATAAACTACAAATGACGAACCGAGATCCTTGGAATTGCCGTAGCATTGGTGCATGAATTGCTCGAGGGGAAACCCGCGCCACATCAGGACTCCCACCTAAAAATGATATTTTAGACCTAAAAAATAGAAAATACCTCGCGATACTGTCCGTAGATGAGATCCTGCGCTTCGAGGGCAGCCGCCGAGCCCACGTGATTTCCCTAGAAAAACAGAGTTTTTTACCGCTAAAAATGAAAAAATGAACCTAGAGAAATTTCCATATTTTTAAAACTTCTAAAAAATCGGAAAAACTCAAAAGTCCTAAAACGTGATTTCCCTAGAAATCTATAATTTAGAAAATTCACGGAAAATGGACATTTTCATTTATGTTCAAGAACAAATTTTTTCGAAGGATATAAACACCGAAAAAAACAAAAATCCTTTTTAAAACAGAAATTTAAACTTAATTTAAAAAATTCAGTAGTCTCCAAACGTCTTTTGAAAGCGCCTGAATGAGCCCACGATTTGTTTTCCTAGAATTATAGATTCAAACGAAAAAGTACATGACATTTTTGACCGAAAACCCTAACATTTTTTAATTTTTAACTTCTAAAACCATAAAAACTCATTTTTTGATGATTTAACGCGTAAAATAGTTAAAACCCCAAGCCACAGTGATTTCCTTATAAAAACCCTGGTTTTTTAGATAAAAAAAATTGGGCTACAATAATATAGAGAATAATTTTTACTTTTTAAAACACGAAAAGTATCAAAAATCCATTTTAAATCCCCTCTAAAGCCCAAGCTCAAATTCATAGCTTGTTTTCGCCTCGCCGCGCTACAATTTCGAGCAAAGCAGCTTTTTCTATGGGTCTGAGAAAAGCGTGGGAGACACTTAAAAAGCCACACTTCTCGCTAGAACCTAAATTCACTCTACTAATTAGTAATCCAGCTAAATGCCACCAAATCGATCGATATTCCCCATTTTGCTAAAGAAAATCCGGAAATCACAAAGCGCCATTCGGCCGGAAGTGGATCGATTGGAGGTCGAGGAGAATGATATTCCATCTATTCAATCGAGCGTGGGTTTTTCGCAGTTTAAAGCAACCAAGATCGATTTTTTAAAATTAATAATTGAGAAATCGTAGAAATAGTGTCTAAAAACCTAGTCTAGCTTTAAAAATTCCAAAAAAAAACGTTTAAAAAATTAAAACGTAAAATAAAAGGCTTAACCTATTCTAAAACCTAAAAAAAAGAAATAATTTCAAATTTAAAACTCAAGCATGAAAACGTTTAAAACAAGAAAATCTCTAATTTAAAAAAGTAAAAAACTAAAACCAGCTTTAAATTTATAAATCAAAACAATTTGTACCTCCTCGCCGGAATTGGTCATGTAGAAGGCGATGCGGCCCTGGCGTTGCGCGTCGTAGAGAATTCGATCCATAATGTTCAGCTGCGTCATCGCCTCGTAGATGCGGATCGATTTCTCCTAAGAAAAAACTAGTTTCAAGTGAAATTTCCCAAAGAATACCTTTCCAAAGCCCGGATCCTGGGCCGGGTCGATAAACTTGCCGAGCCCGTCGGTGACGCGGTAGATGGGGATGGCCGGCGACTTGCTCGAGTCGATGAATTCGAGCTTTTCCGTGAATGCCGCCTAAAGAAAAGGTTTTGGACCATAAACGGGGGGGTTTACCTTTCGATATCCGAGGTATTTGTGCGAGTATTCCTTCAGTCGAAACTCGTCCCGATCCTTAGCCGTCGTGTAGTTGCGCAAGGAGTGGGCCACTCGACGGGCGCTCGAACGGACACTTTGCCGCATCTAGAATTGAGGAAATTAGGTCTAAAATGGGGCAGAAAAAGCAGAGAAAATTGTAATTTTCACGAAATAACTTTCAAAAAAATAGGAAAATGGCAATGTATTTTCCGCGCTCAAAACCGTATTTTTTACGGAAAATGATATCCACGTCAAGAATGGAAAATCTAGCTCAAAAATGCGCAGAAAAGCATAAAAACCCAAAGCAAAACATTTAGAATCGATTTCGTTTTCAAGGGGATATCAATTTTCACAAAATCAACGCCTAAGAAATGAGGAAATGAAGATATTTTCGGTATTAAAACCGGATTTCGAGTAAAAAAGAGCCGCATTTTTCACCCAACAATTTTTATCGCAAGTTAACAATTATACAACAAGTTAACATTTATACCACCAGGCGATCGAAAACTGAATCATCGATACACCAGCAAAATACATGAAAAGATAACAAACTAACAAAGCGAGCAAAGTGAAAATGAGGAACGAGAGGAGGAGCAAACACAGTACATCTACAGCACGAACTTGTTGGTTTTGGCGGGTCGTTTGGCTGGCCTGGGCTTCAAGGTCGCGCGGCTTCACCGGCACGTGCTTCGGAATCGCCATGGTGGCCTCTTGAATCAGCTGCAGATACGGGGCCAGGGAGCTCGTGTTTCCGGGCTCGGCGCATCCCTGGCAGACGACGGCGCCGGTCGAGTTGTTGATTACCATCGCGTTCTGCTCGGCGCTGGCGTTGAAAAGGCGCTTGCATTTGGCACAGGTGAAGCATTGGATGCTGAACGGGGCGGACATCTGGAAAAGAACGAATTGATTAGTTTGCATTCAACAAGCAAAAAACGGAAAACGAGATAACCAACAATAAATTTGGTACTTTCGCATTATCGGGGGTAACAAATTTTCTATTAGTAAAAAATGCCTAGAACGTAATTGTAAGTATTTCAATGGTGTTTTTAGCCATTTAGCTGCTTTTCAGGTGCTAAAACGATCTAAAAAACTTAGAAATATCCTTAAAACTTAAATTTTTGTCTGAAAATACATATTTTTTTGGTATTTTTCAGCACCTTTGTAAAGTTTTGACGTTTAGGAATAGTAAAAACTAAACATTGCTAACTTTCTACATTTGGAAAGGCCGGAAACACTTTTTTTACCTATTTAGAAAGATTGGAGTCTACGGAAAAAGGTTGTCCCCCCGATAATACAAAAGCACCAACAAACCGAATGGTCTGAATTCAATAAACAAAGCAAAGAAAATTGGGAAAGAAAGAAAATGCCAACCACGTGAAAAGAGCGAGAAAATTACTTGGTTTCCTTACCAAACCAAGACCAACAAGATGAACATAATAAAGCATAGCAACGAGAGAAGGAGCGCGTTAAAGTGTAGATACAATGTTTGAGCGTTTTGCTGGATCTGGGCGTTGATTTGGTGGGTGATGTCGAGGAATTCGGCAAGACTGGGCTTTTCGACGGCCAGTTGTAGATGATCGCGGATTTCGTCGAGCAAATCGAGCTTTTTGCCGTGCTGTTTGAGGCGCAGGTTGATTCGACGGGTGGCGGCGAGGTATTCATCATTTTTGGGCTGATGATCTTGATTCTGCTCGTATTTTTCGCTGATTTCCGGCTTCGTTTCCGCGTCAAATTGCCGTTTGTCATCTTGAGGCCGCGGCTTCTGATGTTGCTGCTCACTTTTAGGGCTCATTTCGCGGTCTGTGCGTCGTTTCTCCTCCTCAATCCATGTGCACAGGGCGAGAAAATAGGCGAAACCCGCCCAGGTGATGTATTCGGGCTCGTCCTCGAATTCGTAGCGCTTCCGGTCCGAAAAAGCGTCGGTTCGAGCGGCAAAGACACAGCTGCAACAACGCCAATCCCGTCCGCAGCTCGATATCATCGGAAGGCGTTGCACGCAATCTGCCGGCTTCTTGCATTCCGGGCATTTTGGGATCAGCTTCAGTCCTGTGGTGGCTGAATCGGCCTTGTCGCAGTCGTCGAGGAAATCCATCAGGAGTTGAACTGGCTCGGAAGCTTGAGATCCGGCACATTCTTGACAAACGATCTCGCGCCGTTTCTTGTCGATGACGGGCTGGCATCGAGGAAGCGTCGTGTCGAAGCGCTCCTGGCAGCTGGGGCAGTAGAAACATTCGAAGAGGCCCATCTGAAAAAAAGAAATATAGATTTGGGCCGAAAAGACAAGAAAAAGAACGAGGGAGAACAGCGCAAAAAAATACGAAAATTTGGTTCTTGTGCATTAACGGGTGGGCACAGCTTTTTCTAGTATAAAGGGAATGTTTCTAAGCGATTTTTTATGCCGCAAAACGTAAACAAATTAAGATTTTTTGCCCAAAAAAAAGCTTTTTTCAACCAACGCCAGCTTTTCATAACTTTTTAATTATTTTCTACATTTGAAAAATAGTTAAACTTGCTAGAAATACTTTTTTGATAAGTTACCGGAATTTCTGGGCTAATAAGAAAAGAAAAACATTCGCTCCTCGATAATGCGCAAGCACCGAAATGTATTTTTGCGATTATAAAGCTGAATTCGGCTGCATCAAGCTTTTTCCATCCAACAAGTTTATTAGCAAAACCAGACAATTACTGCAACATCAAAATAACGAGCAAACCAGCGGAAAGCAATGCGAGGATAATAATAACGATCGAAAGAAGGTAAATCTTTTTATCATTTCGCTTGAGGCGGCTGTAGATTTGTCGATTGAGTGTCGATTCATCTAGCACGGCCAGTTTCTTCTTGATCTCCTCGACGTGGCCATTGATTTCGTCGAGCATCTCCAGCTTTTCCTCATTTTCCAAGAAATGGGCGTCGATTTGGCGGCTGATGGCGAGATATCCATCCTCTTTCTCGTGCATAACATTGACGATTCCCCTTTCGAGGTCCTCCTCGTATTTCGGGGGTGCTGCCGGCTGTTTTTGGGCTTTTTTGGCGTGCAGCCACAAGAATTCGACGTAGTTCTTCCACGGCATGAATTCGGGCTGCTGCTTAGATTGGTAGTGGCACGTCTGGCAGAGAGGGGGCCCGTCTTTCGGCGTATCCAACATGCAGGTATAGCATCTCCACGTGTGGCCACATCTCGGCAGCATCGGGAAGCGATCCATACAATCTGCCGGTTTCTTGCAGCCTGGGCATCTTGGAATCTGAAATTTCGAAGTTAGGTCCCGGGTTTTCTTGTTTTTTTTTCATATTAGCCCAGAAAAGCCTACTAATGCAATACTAGGGAATTTTGTGGGTTTTTTAGTTTAGCAAATTTTACGAAATTTCAAGTGTAAAACGACCCAAAAATTTCATTGTTAGCCTGAAACGGCCATTTTCGATCGTAGAATAAATTTTTAGTAAATTTAACTATATTTCAAGTGCAAAAAACTATCTAGAAACGTTAAAAATCTTGAAAAAAGTTAAATTCTGGCCTAAAACCGCGGGTGCTAATGCACTTGGGGGGGGCAGTCCCGATTTTTACTACAAGACGCTCCAAATGGCGTTTTTTAAACTCGAAGCCTCTGGAAAAGCTAAGTCAAGCCTAAGCCTAGGCTTAGCTTCATAAAAACGAAGTCTAAGCTTAGCTGGAGCCAAGCTAAGCTTAGCTCTAAGCTTAGTCCTAAATGACCCCATTTTGACCACCTAAAGCAATTTAAAGCTCAAGTTAAGCTTAGCTTGGGCTTAAGCTTAAGCCTAAGCCTAAGCTAAGCTTAGTTAAAGCTAAGTTAAGCCTAGGCTTAAGCAGAAAACCAAGTAGCTTAAGCGGAGCGTCTCGTAACGCCTACTACCAATTTCGGACTGCCCCCCCCCTAACTGCATTAGCACCAAACCGCGAATTTCGATCGAAAATTTGTCCACAAAAACTTTCGATTTTTTTTTGATTTTTCGTATTAAAAAAGAACCCAAGAAAAAGTTTATCCCCCCGATAACGCGAAAGTACCTGAGACTCATCCCCGTTCTTGAAGTTTGTGTCGAGGAGGGCGAGGATCAGCTCGACAGGGCCCGATCCGCCCGCTCCGACGCACATTTGGCAACGGATATCGTTGCGGTGCTTGACGATGAATGGACGACTTCCGGGGGTTGACGGGTGGAATGGACGGTGGCATTTGGAGCAGTAGAAGCACTGCATCATGCTCATCTCGGCGCCCATCTGAAAACAAGGAAATTATTCGAGCCAGATCAACAATAGAGGAGCAGGAAAACATGAAAATATGCGGAAATGATTTTGGAGGTTTGAAGTTTCAAGTATCAAGCTCAAGGGCAGAAGTAAAAAGGATTATTTCGGTAGCAGAATCAACAAAATGAACAAATTGAAGCATAGCAAGATGAGAACAATAATAACGATCGAAAGCAGATAGATCTTGTTATCATTTCGCTTGAGGCTGCTGCAGATTTGGCGATGGAGTATCGCCAGCTTTTCCTCGTTTTTCGGCAAGTCCGCGGCCGATGAATCTTGCTTGGTCTCGCAAGTCTCGACATCGATAATTCGCTGTTTGTTGGCCATCGATTTTGCACGAGCATCGCATGCCAAAATAGCGAGCAAGATGACATAATGATTCCAAGGGACCGGACCAGGATCCGAAGCTTCATTATCCTCGTCGCAATCTTTGCAGAGCTGATGATCCTGGTTGGAAAGCGTGTAGAGACAGCTATAACAAAGCCAAGTGTGGCCACAAGATGACAGCACCGGAAGACGATCCATGCAATCTGCCGGTTTCTTGCATTCCGGGCACGTCGGCAGCGTCACTTTCTCGATGTCTTCAAAGTGAGTGTAGAGAAGACTCATGAGCAGCTGGATGGGATCAGAATGTCCCTCATCGGCACATTGTTCGCATACAATGTCGTGGCCCGTCTTGTTGAATACTGGCTTCCTTCCCGGGACAGTCGTGCTGAACCTTTCGTGGCACTTCGCGCAAACAACGCACGGGTTGCCGAAGCAAGCACCGTTACCCATCTGAAAAAGGGGGTTAGTAAGGATCTATAACAGATAAAAAGACATCGAATTTTGATCAAACACTTTTTCTTCTTCTATACAAACGGAACTTTAGTTTTCTACTTATTTTCTCCAGCAAAAGGCTCGGTTTTCGCGTTTTTTTTTGGAAAATTTTCATTTTTTCGGTACAAAACAGTCCAATTGACATAGTAGCGCAGTCTGTATGGTTACGGAAAACGAAAATTGGGCCAAAATTGCCGAAAATCAAGGTAAAAATCTCAAAAAATTTAAGTTTCAGCTCCTATCTAAAAATAGAAATTACTACAAAATTTTCTTGAACAGAAAATATAGAACACAAAATATTAAGATTGCTTTCAAAAGCATAGTGTTTAAAAATTCACCAGACTACTAACAACGTTTATTTGAAAAGCAAGGCCAACAAAACGAACAAATTGAAGCATAGCAACGTGAGAACGATAGTGAATTGCATGTTCATCTTTTCTTCCAATGCGTTGTTCTGGGTATTCACGGGACGAGGGGCCGGGATCTGTTGATGGCGAGCAATCGACTCGAGCATCTCCTTGTTCTTCTCCACCTTCTGGTTGATTTGGTGGGTGATGACGATGAACTCCTTCAGCGTCTCCAGCTGCTTTTCATATTTCTCCATGCGGCCCTCGATTGGATATGTGATGGCGAGTCGTTCATCGGGCTTTGGCAGTGACTGCTGCTGCTGCTGCTTGTCGTCGTCGACGCCGAAGAACGTCTGGCCCTAGAAAAATGTAGTGATTCTTTTGCGTTATCGGGTGACCAGTTTTCGCATAAAATTTTCTACCAGAAATACATGTATTTTTCATGCTTTTTTGTAAGTATATCGCTAAGCGCCCAAATATAAAAATATTGATTTTTGCCAAAATTTCAAATTTTAAACTATTTTTGTGGCCTTCTAAATGCTAAATCTTGTTCCAACCGCGATTAAAATACTTACAAATATAAATAATACGTTATTAAGGATTTCTAGACTATTGCTAAACGTAAAAAAACACATTGTTTTGTTAAAAAATACAAGTAAATAGATTTTTTGGCCAAAAAATGCAAATTTTAGACTTATTTTGGCGTCCCAAATGCCAGCTTCTGTTGCCGACACCATTAAAATACTTGCTATTACATTATTCTGGTTTTCTAGAATTATACGACCCCCGCTAATGCAAAAGCACCCATTTTGAAGCGGAAAACGCGCTTACCAACAGGCAACTCAAATATCGTTTCCACGGCACGTAATCGCTGGCCAGCCGCCCACAAACGTTGCAGCTCAAAAAGTGGCGATCCTCGGCGGTGAGGGCGCAGAAGCCACAAACCCATGAATGGCCACATCTGGCGAGCATCGGAAGTCGTTCCATCCTATCCGCCGGCTGATTGCACGCCGGACATTTCGGGATCGACGATTTGTGGCAGCGCTTGAAGTCGGTGTTGAGAAGATCCAAGACCAGCTGCACGGGATCGGAGGCTCCGTACCGGGCACAGCCCTGGCAGATGATGTCGTAGCGTCCGGGGCCGATCACCGGCTTTCGGCCGTGGATGTGGGCGTTGAACGGCTTGCCGCAGGTGGAGCATTGGAAGCAGATGAACGTGCTCAGCTGGGCGCCCATCTGCAAAAAAGAGAGATATAAATTAATATGCAAAATTCGCGTTAAAAACTCGAAACTTAAAACTTAAAAACGTCAAAAATTCGAATTTTTGGGGTCTTTGGGCGATTTTTTTTTGGCTTTTTGAGCCTTCCTACGTGAAAATTTTCATCCAAACTTTTTTGCTAGAGCAAAAAGGCAAATTTTGCACGTTTTTGAAGGATTGCTTGAAAATTTTCATTTATCCGGTACACAACAGTTCAATTGACGTAGTGGCGTAGTGCGTATGGTTCCGGAAAGCTCAAAAATGGGTCACAAAGTTTCAAAAATCAATAAAAATATGTAAAAACGTTGATTTTCAGCGCCCTTCAATCTTCGAGCGACTGCAGCGGACCATCGACGAGCTGCCGAGTCTGCCGGATATGACCGGAGAGGGCTCTGTGGTCAGTTTTTCCAGAATTATCGATTTTTATTCGCTTTTAGGTGGAAAGAATCGACAATACGCTAAATGCCCACTACTATACGATCGCTTATTGTGTCGTTATAACCGCGGTAGGTTAAAATGTCTAGAAAATTGATTAAATACGCTTTTGAAGGATTAAAAACCTTGTAAACGTTATAAAAATTGTTAAGGGAGCTGTAAAATCGATTTTAACACATAAAAACCATTTTTCAGTATGTATTGGGCTTTGCGGAGTACGTCTACCTTCGGCTCGTCTCGATTCTGATCCCGGAAAAGATGAAATTTTACAAGACTTGCCAGGAACGGGCTGATGAAAGGGTACGTTTTTCAGTAAAACCAGGGTTGAAAAGCCGCTTCGCCCCTTCCAACCCCTGGCCCCGTTTAGCCAAAGAAGTTTACCCATTACATAATTCGACCCAACCCACGCTGAAAAAAAGGGAAAAATGCGCTTTTTGATCGTTTATATAGGCTACCCCCACTTCCGGTGTATGCTAATTGTTTCCTAACAAAGAGGCCTTGCGAAAATTTTACAGAAACTTAAATTTAACTTTGAAAATAGCTGATTTTCTCGAATTCTATATGCGTGCAGTCTTCTCCAGTCCATTACTCACCTAATGACGTATCATACGTACCTTAAGACTGCTCGTTATCGAGATAACCTCCGGACACGCTGACGGAAGTTGCATGTAAAGTGGCACACACACACAAACACACAGACACTATTTTTTTATATATAGTAGGATTACAGTTGGTCAAACTTTTTGGGCCAAATCTTCAAATCAAAATCAGTAAAAAGTAACCTAAAAGTAGATTAAATCTTTTTGAGCACTTTTATTAGTATTGCACTATTTTTTTAAGGGTTTTAAGACCAAATTGAGCTTCATTTAAGCTTTTTTATGCCATTTTAATCCAAATTTACTAGACCTGAGCTTCCTGGCCGGGTTTTAAATATTCATTTTGTTAAAATAGGTATTTTGCAATATCTGTAATGATATACCGGGTACAAGGAAACTTTCCGGCGTATTTTTGACCCGACATCAAGCAAAGGTTTGACAGTTTTGACGATTTTATGCCGAATTTATCTAAATTTCGTATTTTCGAGTATTTCTGATGCTAAATTGACGAAAATCGAGTTTTTGAATGCATTTTCGGACCAAATACAGTAAAAATTGGATATTTTGGAGCAGTTTTAACGCTAATTCCATGAAAATTTGTTATTTTACAGGCTGTTTTAACGCCAAATCGTTAAGTTAGATAGATTTTGACCATTGATCTCATTAAAACAATTTAATTCGCCGCTTTTTCAGGTGGGTAAGGATGGCTGGCATTATGGTGTGAGTGTGGGGGCATTTGTCGTGATAGCCCTATTCCAATTGATCTGTTTCTTCGGATTGACAATATCTGAGAAATGGACAAAGATTAGCCATTTTGGGCCCTCATCGGCCGCGTCGCTACGGTAGGTCTCGGCACGTCTTAGGGAATAAAAAGAATTTAGGCGCGAAAGGGTGGCCTCGCAGATCCGGACCGTCATCCACAAGATTATGTACCGCACGTTTTGTGAGTTTTGTCGCTTCTAAACATTGTAAGATTCGAAAAAGTTATTTTTTTTTTGGGATATTTGATAGCGTTTCGATTGATTTTTTGCAAAATCGGGTTTATCGGGTTTTAAAATCGGGAAAAGGGGACTGGAAATCGATAAAAATGAAGCCTGTTTTTGCGACATATTTTTTTTTGAATTTTCAGCGTAGTTTAACCAGAATTTAAATTGTTTTGAAATGTCTAGCCTGTTCAAAAATTTTATTAATTCTAAGACCGTGATTTAACATTGAAATATTTTGGAACTCATTAAATTCGCCAAAAATTCCAGAGAATTTCGGAAATTGCGTTTTTTTCGGGGTTTTAAAGGTATATAAAATTATTTAAAATGCAAGAAAATGTCTAAAGTTTTTCAATAAAAGTAATAAGTTAATCGATTACTAATGCGATACATTTATTATAGTATGCTACGGTCTGTGCTCGGGCATCATTTGCATGCTCATTTTCTACATGGTCGGCATTCAGGTACGGCATTGTCGAAATTGAATTTTTAATTTGGGTTTTTTCTGTAAAAATCGTTAAATTCAGCGTAAAAACGTGTAAAAAACGTACCAGAAATTTTAAAAATATCGAATTTTTCAGGACTCAATCGGGGATACGGTCTCCCAAGTGTTCATCTACATTTTCGACGCGCTAATGATCATCTATTTCCTCGCATTTCCGTTGTGTACAATCATTTATCATCCACATGTTTATTGCTTTAAAAGGTACGCGAAAAATGAGGTTTTTATTATTCTTGTTAATGAAATTCTAATTTTTTAAAAATTTCACAAATAGCAGACAGCAGGCAGAACAGCTAAATTTATGAAAAAAGCAACATTTTTACAAATCCACGATTTTCGATAGTTTTATAAATTTAATAAGGCTTCAAGAATCCCTGCTAGCTGTCTAAAAACTTAGAAAAATCGATAACTGGCTAGAAAAATAGTCAAATTTCGAAAAAATTAAAAATGGCAAAATTTTCCAAATTCGGAAATTTCGGTTTTCTTAAACTAAGTTTTAAAAACGTGAAAAATCTCGAATCTCTTGTAAATTTTTGAATTTTAAAATACCTAAATGATCTCTGCTAATCATCTAAAATTCTCGCAATTTGTAAACTGGCCGCCAGAAGAAATAAAACTTCTAAAACGAAAAAATCTCAATAATGACAAATACCCCGATTTCAGCCGTCCTCCCACGCAATCAGTCGATCCAGCCGATCCGTCAATATCACAGGGTGTCGCCCCTCTAGTACACAATACTACAGCAACACGGCTGGCATCATTGGCTGAGGTACGGTAGCTTTCCCCAAATAATCACTGCTATGGGTGTTCAGATAGCCGAGCCCTCTTCCTATTCTGCATCCCCACTTCCATCTGCCATCCCTCCACTCAGTTTTCCCAATTTTTCGGAACGTGATCGACCGGAGAGTGGGTTTTAAAGGGACTAGGAAGGATAGAATTTAGCAGCTAACCAAATTGACAAGCAATATGATAGTTCCTAGCAAAAGTCATGTTAAAGGAACTGGGAAGTCGTGAACCTGTCAATTATCCAAGCCAAGTATGCAAATTATCGAATTTCTTTTAAAATGCAATTTTAAAGGGACTGGGAATCCCAAAAATTAATCGGAAGTCAAACTGCTATGCAGTTTATCGATATTCGCGAAAAATTTGGTTTTAAAGTGGCCAGGAGCCCTAGGATCTCGTCTTTGGCGAAACTGACAGACCATCTATTGATCTTCGCCAAAAACTCGGGTTTCAAGGGGCTAAGAAGGCTGGAACTTGACAACTAGCCGAACTGGCATGCAAACTAACGTTTCCAATCAAAAAATCGAAAAATCGAAAGCTTTTTACTAGGATTACGGCATCGTTCCAGGTTTATCCGGTCGAAGTACGCACAGTGCTCGTGAACCACCACAATTGGATAGAGGGATCGAGATAGAGCCATTTCGAAGAGGGAGCAGACAAACTACTACTGTATAACTTTTTATAAACACTAATGTTTTATTGCCAATTTGAAGCTTTATACTGTGTGATATTGCGCATGACATATCCCCTGTTTGCCTTCACAATAAACGGGTTTACACTATCGAGTTGTATATAACGAAAAACAACTGACAGAGTGAGGGAAAGAGAGAGCGCTAGCCAGAAAAAAACTATTTTACACAAAAATTCGCCGCCATAAGCCGTGGCCAAGTGTTTAGTGGGCGCGCCTCCCATCTGACGACGCAGGTTCGACTCCCGGCCGCTGCCAACTTTTTGCTTTTTGCTTCGAACGGTCAGAATCGGCTATCTTGTGGCTAGGAAGCGAGAGATAGATAGAGAGAGAGCGAGAGAGAGAGAGAGAGAGTGACATCACATTGTCAGTACCCCGAGGTAACATTCCCTCCTTGGCAGCGCGACCTCAATCTGACCTCCCGATAAGTGGCGTCATTTTGTATATCCCCGCCCATTTCCGCAAAGAATCTCTGCTATCTTGCCCTGTCTATCCCTGGTCATTTTCAGATACTATCGCTCCATAAAAATGCTTCTCAACTTCCCAATCGAGAAATTGCCGCTCGTACCACAGGATCTAGTCTACAAAAGGACGCCTCCAGGCTCTAAACTACGGCTTCGATCTGTTAATAAGGTATACAATTACTATAAGAATTCAGTAGTCGTGTCTGTCCGTCCGTCCGTCTGTCTGTCTGTCTGTCAGAAGCCAACTATAACTCAAGGGGGAAAGGAGCTAAAGCTTAGGTCTCTTCGGATTCGGATAGAGCGTGGTCAGAAACCCCAAAACCGATCAAGAACCGAATCTAAAAACTTCCTTTTCAAATTTATAAATAGATTTTTGTAATTTGGTAGCAAGAATGGCTACTTGCGCGATTTTGGGCATAGTGAGCCAGGTCGCGCGCGTTTCGGCGAGGGGCAGGGAGCGCAGGGGGTAGGGGTGAAGTCGACTTTTCCGCTGTAAGCGACTGGTAATGCAACAATTACGACTCCTGATGTTTTAGAAGATGAGGGATGGGCATCGATTACGCGATATAATGTCTGGCCCAGTACCAAATATTCGAATAGAAGACGGGAAACGACGGCGCGATGCGATGCGAATAGAGAAACTAAATGATCCATGGCCGTCGTTTGACGTGAACATCTTATTTGATGGTATCGAAGAGGATGATGGGGAGGAAATAGTTATCTTGATCGATTTCTATCAGAGTGAAACAACACCACCCCTGCGTTTTGAATACTGGCAAAGGTTGGCTTCCACGGTTCTTTTGCATCAACTTTTTTTCTTAGGATCTCATTTTTCCTATATAAATAATAGAAAGGTTTTTAAATGGTTTTACACAATTTTTCACGTGAAAATTTAACAAATTTGATTAAAAAATAATCTATATAATTATAAAATATCGATTTTTCGAGCAAGAAAGGCCGATTTTTGACCAAAATGTCGAGTTTTCCACATTTTCTCAAGCTTCCACGAAGTTTCTCTAGTTAAAAAAGACCGTATTTTTAGCGAAGCAATGGATCGACAGCGGAGATCGTGGTATCTACCACGATTTCCACATCGACGAGCCGTCTACAATGGCCACGATAGCATTGGATTGATGAATCGTCTGCTGGCCAATTTCAGACCAATGCTATTGACGTTGTGTGATTTGGCATATGGGCCATTATCCGATCCATCCATTATTCATATTTGGAGAATACCGTATACACTTTCCGTGAAGAGATATGGGCTTGAGGTACGTTTTTATCCATTTGTTTTTGTATTGCCGCGTTGTTTTTGAATTTATATGAATATTGCAGGAAGCGGTTAAGTGCCTAGAAGAGACGTACAATCATCATAATCCACCGGAGCAGGTGTTCTCTCTCTCTCTCTCTCTCTCTCTCACTCTCGCTTTCTCTCTCACTATCCCACGCTCTCTTTCTCTCTCACGCTCTCTCACACGCACTCTCTTCTCGCTCGCTCTCTCTCTCTTTCTCTCTCTCCCTCTTTCTCTCTCTCTCTCTCTCTCTCTCTCTCACTATCCCACTCTCTCTTTCTCTCTCACGCTCTCTCTCTCTCGCTCTCTCTCTCTCTCTCTCTCTCTTTCTTCGCTCTCTCACTTAACTGTCTAACCCCCTTTCAGGTTCACATCAAATGCATGGCATTAGATGCGCATAGTTTCACCAGATTATTGGCCAAGGTCAGATTCTAAAATAATGATAAATCGCCTCGTTTCTTATAATAATCCAATCTTCTACCTTTTCAGCATTCCGATATCCCAATTCTGGATCTTGAAAGATTCTGCTCAACGGATGATGATGTTGATGTTGATAGTATTCGAGCGTTTCTTCATGCACTTCTCATTCAGGTATCCATTTCGCTGTCTTTGCCTCCGCGATTTCGCCAAATTTTGACGCAGTTTTATACAGGGTGTGCAAAAAAAAAGGACACAGTTTGGGTCGAAATAACTCGCGAACGGTAGAGAATCGAAGGTGCGTTGCCATGCCAGAATGCTTAAATATGCTGGGCATGAAGATTTAACACAACTTGATTTTTTCGATTTTTGGGTACGCAACTGTACTATTGACGCTGGTTACGACCGAAAATTGTGCGTTCTTGAATGGGTGGTGAGAAAATTCTGATTTTTGGCCTAAAAATAGTATAAATTTGTAAAAATGTAATGGCAAAATCTTAGAATTTATCGAGGTCAATTTCATTTTTTAAAAGCAAAACAATTTTCGCGATTTTGCGTTATTTTTATTCTTTGAGTCATAACTCGCTTATAACTTGCTGCCCATGGCTGATATTTTGCCAATCACTTATCCAAATATTAATCTCGGATCCCACACCAGATTCCACCACAATCTATGGTATTTTTGTATTGCATGCTAAAACGCACCCCAGCGGGGTACTGTAGGTTTCGTTTTTCCCGCTTTTCTCGGGGCCCCTAGCTTCGATTCGGCTAAAATTTTCTGGGTTGTTAGGCAATAAGTAGGGGCACCTTACTGCCAAATACGAGAGCGTACTATCCACAAACTTTCATGAAAAAGACTAAAAACTGATTTTTTAATTCTGCCACAGAATCTTGTAAATTTTTTGGTCAGTTGGTCCATAAACCGCTTCTATTGGTTTTACAAAAAGATCGAAGCGATTCCATGGCAAAAACACCACAAAAATCGCAAATTTCGGTTTTCTACGGTAACCCCCGTGGAGCGCCTTTTAGCATGCCATCAAAAAATTCCATAAAGTGACGATTTTTCTATTCGAGGGCCTTCTAGAGGTGATTGTAAGATAGCCTGTAAAAAATTACTGATTTTTGGTGGTAAATAACAAAGTTACGAGGCCAAGTGCAAAACAAGGCCAGAGAGCCGATTTTTGGTCCGAGTAGCCGGGGTCAATTTTCGAATTTTTAAAAATAAAAAAACCAGCTGGATCTCATGGATGCGATTATAGCTTTGATGTTATTATCTACACCCGTAAAATTTGGGGGCAATCCGATTCATGATCATGGTGACTTTCAGCTCAAAATCGAAGATCACCCTGTTCCAAAATCAAAGTTTAGAAACCTTCTTAAATTTTTTGCGACGTGAAATTGCTTTAATCTTTGCATAGTTTGATTCACCTAATGGCACTGACTTATTTCTCAAAATATCCCTACGACTCCACTTTCAAAAATTTTTTTACGCAACCTCCAAATCGGTTTATTTCGGGTTTTGATGAATTTTCTTGGCGCCAACGGCTGGTTAAATAAATTCATGAACAAGTCTTTAGGATGCGCTATTCAACTGGTATCAGATAAAAATAAATCGATAATTTTCACAGCACGACTAAATTTTATAAAATGGTGACAATATTAGGAAAAAAGCACGAGCCAACCGTTTTGGAGGCCCTAAACGACGCCCTTCCAAAGAGGTACGGTAGATCGAAATTTTGTAGCTGATAGATCAACCCCAGTACTACATAGTTAAGCAAAAAAAATAGCTGAGTGCCCTTTGGCAATTTAGAAATATTTTTCCAAAGTTCAGTTTCGAGACCTCGAAAAATCCATGACCAGGGGGTCGTTGAAAAACTCAAAAATTCGTCGATCTCGAAAATTTTTTTAATATGTTTATGCAATTGTGCATCCTCCGTAGATATTCTACAACTAATTCTTTTGACATTTCCACCATAAGTTTTTTTAATATCGAAAAATTACGAAATTTCTTCATACAAAATTTCGTTCCTCTATAACTTTTCAACCAGACCCTCAAAAAATCTTAAATTTTGTAGGTGCATATCTGCTGCCCACATTAACTTACTCACTAAAAATTAGAAGCCAGTCACCACAGGAAATTGCGAAAAATGCAAATTAAGTTTCCCCGAACGCACAGTTTTCGGGTGTCATTTGTATGGGTACGTACCCAAAAATCGAAAAAATCAAGTTGTGTTAAATCTTCATGCCCAGCATATTTAAGCATTCTGGCATGGCAACGCACCTTCGATTCTCTACCGTTCGCGAGTTATTTCGACCCAAACTGTGTCCTTTTTTTTTGCACACCCTGTATGCAGAATTTCACTGACAAAACGTCGATTTGGCGCGTCGGGACCCCGCACATCAGGTTCCACGACGTCGAAAACACGAGAGGCTGTCCCGAAAAAACCCTTTCGGCATTTGGCCGTCTTCTATCGGTTCGGGCCCAAATTTTTACCAGTGATGGGGAACCATAAAGACTATGTGCGGCCAAATTTTCTAAACAAAAAAGTGCAAAATAAAAAGTTATTGCTAAAAAACTGCTTTTTTGGAAACGCTGCTACTCATTTTTGGCAAAGTTTTCGCAATTCTGAATGAACGGTCAATGTCGCGCATTTTAGCACCCTCCGATCGGCAACAACAAACGGTTATTTCGTTTGATTATCAGGCGGAGACGAAATTGGCGACGGTTGCCGGCATGCAATGATCCGGTATTCTCATATTTACCAAATTTAGGGGAATTACGGGAAAATATGGCGGAAAAAACCGAAATCCAAAAATACACCCAAAAATTTCGACATATTGAAATTTCGATATTCTGATACATTTGCGAAATGCGGAAGAAGTGAAATAAGATTTTAGATGTTATTTTCATCTTCTGTTTCAGCTGTATCGGCAGATGATTGATCCCCATCTGGTGACGAACGAACTGAAGAAAATCAGCGCAAATACAACAAAACAAGATGCAATGATTATCGATTATCAACCGGAAATCGGCTTCCTCCCCCCGACAGTAAACGTGGGCCATTTTCTCGCATTGTTTACCTGATTTTAGTGGCAACGAATTATTGTGGTTGCGCAAAATTATCGTCAAAACATGGCGGCTGTACGAAAAGTCTATCCACAGATCATATCTTCCCGTTCGAATGCGAATTTTCTTGTTGGCACCACGCGGGGAAATGGTCTTTTGAATGATTGGCCATTCTTTGTACGTAACGTGCGATTTGAATGATAAAATGTTCTTGTAACAATCTAACAATGTAACAAAAAACCAACAAAAATGTAACGCTTGAATGCTGTTCCCCTGAGTGCAATTTTTCCTTCGAAAAGCAATTGTCACGATTTTAACGAATCAAGAATTTGCTCATATGATTATTAAACTTGTATTTGATTTTCAGATAGAATAATAGAATAGAATAAAATAAAGATAGAATAATAGAATAACCTATCGTAAATTTGCCAAATTCCTGAATGAGTGCATGTATTTCTGATAGCATCAAAAAGCGATGAAAAGGATGGTACGGGAGAGAGAGAGAGAGAGAGAGAGAGAGAGAGAGAGAGAGAGAGAGAGGAAGAAAGAGAGAGAGAGCAAGAGAGAGCGAGAGAGTGAGAGAGAGTGAGAGAGAGTGAGAGAGAGACAGAGAGATAGAGGGCGAGAGAGACAGAGAGAGACAGAGGGCGAGAGAGAGATAGAGACAGAGACAGAGACAGAGCGAGAGAGAGGGCGAGGGAGAGATAGAGACAGAGACAGAGACAGAGCGAGATAGAGAGGAAGAAAGAGAGGTAGAGAGAGACAGAGACAGAGCGAGAGAGAGGGCGAGAGAGAGGGCGAGAGAGACAGACAGAGACAGAGAGAGAGAGAGAGAGAGAGAGAGAGAGAGAGAGAGAGAGCAAGAGAGGTAGAGAAAGACAGAGCGAGAGAGAGAGGGAGCAAGAGAGGTAGAGAGAGAGACAGAGACAGAGCGAGAGAGTGAGGATGCGAGAGAGATAGAGAGAGCGAGAGCGAGAGAGAGTGAGAATGCGAGAGAAAGAGAGAATAGTTTCACCTACCCTGCGGCAACATTCCCCTCTTCCCGCGTAACCTCATCCTGACCTCATAATAATTGGCGCCATTCTCGTTTCGAACAGATTGCATTAATCAATGGGCATACCCAGATAATCTTAGCTAGTTTCCTCATTATATCCGCATCCAGATTATTTGCAAAATCCAATACCAAATAAAAGAAGATGCATCTCAACTTCCCGCTCGAGAAATTGCCGCTCGACCTACAAGATCTAGTCTACAAAAAGATGCCTCCAAACTCTAAACTACGACTTCGGGCTGTCAATAAGGTATCGAATTATTGCCTTTTACACAGTTTCACATACAAAAACATTATAAAATTT